GGTTGAGCGCGATGCGGGGGAGGAGGATCTGATGCTCACCCGATGACTGTCAGTACCGGATCTCCCCTCCATTTACCGCCCCAAGGTTTCGTACTGCGTACCCAAAATGTGCAGCGTAATTTTTTGCAATAGCTTGGGCGAGTGTTGAGGCTTACAATCAGGTTTAGACTAAGACCAGCCCTGGGTTCGGCTTAGGCTTAGAATTAGGCTTAGGCTTAAGTTTAGGCTTAGGATTAGGCTTAGGCGCAGGTAAGGTTTGCGCTATCGAATATTTTCGAGCTAAAGCCTAAAGAGGTTATAACCGGGAATTATCAGGGCTTTAGAAATTAAAATAACCACGGCATAACCCAAATTGTAAAGTAGAAATGAGTGCCCCCTCCCTAAGCTTTGCATATGCTAAAAATGTTGCTGATCGGGCGCTGAGAAAGAAAGGGCTGACCCTGCAGCCCTGCTAGGCGGGGGGAGTGAAATGGCGGCTTCTTCTTGGACAAACAGCGGATAGAAATGGTCTACTCCTCCCTTCCCCCATCCTTTCACCCCCCACCGTCTCATACTTCTTTTTTCTTTCGTGTCTTCATGGCCCACCCCCAAGCAAATAGTCGGCCCTTTTTCAAGTCGTCCCCGCGCTGTAAGTGCATTCTAAGTCTTGCCCCCTGCGGATCTCGCAAAAAAAACTGTGGTAAAACAAGGGAAAAGCGCCAAAAGTACGAATGTCAAAGCAGTCAGACAGTCGAAAGTGGATAGCTCGACAGCAATAATGCCGAAAACCAAAGTCCGATACCCAAATCCAGAGAGATCCAAAATCCCGAAAGCCATGTCCCGACGGCCAAGGCTCCGAACAGCCTAAATCCCGACAGTTTTAATGCCGACAGATGCCGATGAATACCGACAAGCTAAATCTAGGTAAAAATGACCCTGGTATACCAAAATCCTGACATGCGAAATCGCTGGCATTTGAATCTGACCATAACTACTACCATCTATAGGGCGATAATAGTAACCGCTTTGAAAGAGAAAGAAGCACGAAGCGAAGAAATATCGACGCGTGCGGGGGTCAGCAAGGAGTGGAAGTGCATCTTCTCATTTCCGATGAATGGCCCCACCCTCGACCCCGCGGATGTTGGATGCTAGTCAAAAGGGCGCCTTTCCCATCTTTTCGCCCTTGTTAGCCGCTTCGAACTCCCCCGTAACCTGTGATCGGAATATAATGGAATTATAGGAGGGCGAGGGGTTGATGAGACAAACGAGAATGCCACCCACAAGACGCCCTGATTTGCATATCTGGTCGGAACATCGCCCCCCGAGGCTGCCGGTCGGAAATGAAGGCCCTCGGGAGAGTAGTCCACTCATTCATTTCTCCGCATCGACTTGTCTGGTTACGTTAAAGGGAGAAGCGTGACAGCTGGAGGAATATAAAGGTGTATCACGGAATTATCGGCATCCTTACAGGGCTAAGGAAGGGCCATAGATGAGGCATAGATAATTGGCAACGAGCCAACAGGAAATGCTAATGACAAAAAATTGGCAGAGAGTGGGGCGAGGACAGAGAAGATTTATGCTTATTTACCAGGGTTGAAAAGCCGCTTCGCGACTTTTCAACCCTGGCCCCGTCCAACCCTATGATATCCCTCGCTTTGCATAATCCTTCCGCACTGTTATGTCAAAAAGTGAAAATCGCGTCCTCTCCCCGATTATATAGGCTACTCTCATTTCCGGCGTATGCTAATTTTCTCCTAACAAAGAGGACGTCCGATTTTTAAGGAAAAACTTAATTTTAATGTCGAAAACAAACTATTTTGAAAAATCTGATATGCGTGCAGTCATCTACAGGCCATTACGCGTCTAATGACGTATCATACGCCCCCTTCATCCCTTCCCTTCTTGAGATATCCTCCGGACACGCTGACGGAAGTTGCATGCAAAGTGTCATACACACACACACACAAGACACTATTTTTTTATATATAGTAGGATTATATTTTTAATGGCACTGATACTGATAGTGAAATTTAATTAGCCTATACCACATTGTTGCAAAAAAAAACGGAAAAGGTAGTAAAACGTTGTGGGGCAGCGTGATGTATTGGAAATAGAATAAGTCAAAACCGAGGCCGATAATTGGCTGGGTTGAGGTGGCGTGAATGGGACCTTTAGGGGGGAAGGGAACGAAAGGATAAGCTCATTAGTCAAGTACTCATCGAGGATGGCCGGTCCTCCGTCGACAGCCACATCTGTCATCCCTACAACACCCAATGCCAAATCCCTCAAAATATCCACAATATAGCTGCAAGAATTTCTTGCCTTATTTACTACTAACTTGTCTATTTGAGGCGTGTGCAACGAGTTCCGGATGTCTTCTGACAAATTCCGAGCTCCTCCTCGGATTGCCAGTCGCTCAATGGTGGGGCCCAATTTTTCTTCGTTTGTCCGTTCGCTCATTTTTCGTCTTTTCTGAGCCGAAGGCACGTCTCCTTCCCTCTCAACCATCGCTTGACGGCCCCCTGGTTGAGGAAGTGGGCCCCTAGGGGGGAAATGGGCCATTAGTTATTCATTCAAATTCGAACAGATGCCCCCGTCAAACGAAGAGCACCGATTGATGCGCCCCCAACGCTCCCCGTCAATTCTTCATAACCCCGATATAAAGGGAAAACCATGCCAAAAATGGTCAAAAGCTTAGGCGGCAACAAATACACCGGAAAAGAGCCAAAAAAAAACGGGGGAAAAAACGAAAAGAAAGGGCATTTTGGGCGTTAGGTGAAGTTGCAATCGTGTAGAATTTGGATTTTGAAAATCGGTATTGTGGGGATGGGCATTTGACGAGTCGGCATATCGTTTGCAGGGGAAACGCCAAAATACCGACAGTCAAAATTTCGACAGGCCAAAATGCTGACAGCCGGAAGTCCGGGATTTTAGAGCCATTTATGGGTAAATCAACCGGAAATATCACATTTTAGCTGCGGAGATTTTGAGTGTCGGTCTTTTGTCCGTCGGAATTCCGGCTGGAAATCCGTTTGCAGTACGAAAATCGGCATCATTCCAATCGGCATTATGAGATGGCTCTGGTTTTGCCGGGTTAACAGTCGTCAATTTCGTTTTCCGTTAATCCGAAAAGCGTTGCGGGCCAGAATTACGTATTCCCCTTTCAATCGAGCCATGCTACCCCGTATAGATAGATGAAGATGGAGTAGGGTTATTTCGCCGCGCGGTCGAATGCGGTCCACCCCCCTTCCCCTCAAAATGACCAATATATAGGGGCCCCGCGGCGTGTGCAATTTTTAGGGGGGAATCCTGGGGTAGGCGCTGAAATCGCGTGTCAGAGGGTACAAAGGGCCCGCCGCCAATGGCCCGCGACCACATTCGCCCCGTTTCGAATCTTGACCCACGGATTGTACCCTGCACGATGATTTTTGAGGGTGGAAGGAAACGAGGTAAGCTTGTAATCAACAACAAGGAGTGCTGGAAGAACGCAATAATAGGTCTAACATCTAACACTATTAAGCCTAGCCCAAGGCGAAACCTTATCCTAATCCTAGGTCCCTCCTAAGCCAAAAACTCGACTACGCGACGTTCCTCTGCAATTTTAGCTAGTAAATCCCATCCATCCCACCCAATTCCCAATAGAAATCACGAGAAAACATCCAAAAATGAAAAGTTGGCCGACCGGGGATTGTTTGTGGGTGTCAGATTTGGGATGGTGTGTGGGTGGGAGGGGGAATGTGTGGATGGAAAGTGTCTCCTCCGCTTGGGGGGCCATCTTCTCTGCCACAAGTCCCATGGGATGGCTGGGGGTCCTATCCAGAGTTTCGCGAGGGGGAAGGCCAGCCAGATTCCATCCATCCAATCATCCACTTATCACACATACACACTCAGTCCACACTTCCCCCTCACATTCCAGCAGAGATTGGTGCGATTCGCTTTTTGCAAAGAGATTTTCTTGCCCAAAAATAGCTGAAGGGTCGAGGCGTCTGGCGAGTTATTTTAGTTTTTCATCAAAGCGAAAGCAAGAAATAGAATCCTAGAGATGTAAGTGATATAAGATCAAATATTCGTACATAGACATGAAAAGGTCCCTCTTATCGAAGGCAAAGGAACCAAATGAGAATTCACATTTCCATTTGGCATGGCCAGGATGGGGGGAAGAGGATGGGGCCGCCGAGGGCAAATATCCCAATGGTGGAGGGTGAGGGGTCAGCGGCGTGTAACCGAATACTTTTTCTACGCAACGCCGCTCTGAAGCGTCCACTACCACCCATAGAAATCGACAGCTGGGAGACACCTTGGGTTGGATTATTTCAAAAATGTCGAAATTTCTGAATACCAATATTTCATGATACCGAAACTTCACATCGTGGAAAATGTTTGTACTTGTTTTGGGAAGGTTTGTCCATGATATCCTTCGACATCGAAATTTCCACATCCTGGAATTTCGAGATACAGGGTATCCCAATAAAAAATACCCCCACCCCCGCTATCACCTAATCCCATATCGTATGCAAAATGACATACACTTACACTATTTTTTTTATATAAAGTAGAATTATCGACAAAGGGATGTGTCTGTATTATTATTTCCTTGGTAGACCGGATGCTCCAAATATAAAAAAGACTTTATTTAAATCTCGGCGAGACACGAAAAGGAGAACACGAATCCTGAAGCCGAAGGGAAATGAGCAACTGGAAGGAGGCTGAGAATTCAATGGAAGATTTTGAGAGATGGCTGAACGAGTTACACAGTAACTACCGAGCGGATAAGTAGATGAACACAAGACGAACAATGGAATACATGGCGCGTCGTGTCGATTGGAGTGTTGCGGAGTCGATTCGACCAACTTTTTGGATAATGAAATTGTCTAGCCGACTAAATCATTGAAAGTGCAGATATAGCCACACATAAAAGGACGAGATAATTGCGTAGATCGTATTTGGGGCTAGAATCGGGACGGAATCTGGGCATGGAGCGGAAGGAAGGTGAGAGATAAATTAGAGGAGACGACGCTTTACACGCTCGTGTTCATGCCGAGAATCTGTTGGGCGCCGTATGGCTGTGTGCTTGCCGGGATGCTGGAGGGAGTTGGTGATAGTCTGAAAGTAGAACGTTTCTACCATTCGATTGGTTTTATCTTATTTGTGTTACATAAGTTTGAACTCTTGGTCCGAAATTCGCAATTTTTGGTAAAAAAATTCTACTTTTCCGAAGTTTCCAGAAAAGGTCTAGCAATATTAAGCATTTTTATCAAGTTTTAGTAATTATTATATTTTCCAATGGAAAAACTATCTCAATAATCAGAAATTTAGAAACGGAACATTTGGGCCGACGTATCATGTGATTTTTGAATAAAAACTCCCTAATCTTTTTGCGTTTTGGGAAACTAAAAAAATAGCTGAGAAACACTTTTGCTATTTTGTATTTCAAAAATTGGAGTTTTTAACTTTCAGTTTTTTTTGTTTTTTAAAGCTCTACCCCCGATAATGTACAAGTACCGCAAAGCCTTTAGCCAAAATGCGTACCTGCGGGCATCTAGGGCGATGGGAGTTGCCCGAGGAATGCCGGTGGGACGTGGAGGTTCGCTGATTTGATCGATTCGCGGATCGGTGACGAACCCCTATAAATATTAGCTTTCTATATCCTCCATTTCTAGTCCAATACCTTATTCGTAAAATCTGGTCCCATCGGGTACGAACCAGCAGCGTACTCCTCGGCCTTTTCGTTTCGTCGCCGCTGTTTCAGACACCAACATACGGTAAAGATCAGGATCAGCACCTGAAATCGGTTAGTTGGCGGCTTTTTCGTAATTCGGCGTCGAAAAAATGTATATAAAACGCACCAACACGACGCCAACAAAGCCAAAGATTGTGGCGAGCCACTTGAAATAGTTTTCTTTGATCCTCGATCGACACCACGGTTGGGATCCCTGAAATTCAAGATTTATAAAATATTCTTGAACCAATTTATTTTAATATTTTTTGGTTTGTATAGTATTATTGGGGGGTGCATAATTCTATAAATGTGTAGTAACTTAATAAGAAGTGTTTTAATCGTGTTTTTAGCAAATTGAACTATATTTCACCAAAAAACTCGGCATTTTGGCGAAAATGAAAAAAATTCATATTTCTAGAGATTTTTGTAAAATTTTCACGCATAGGAATTCAAAAAAAAAATCAAACAAGACTCTCATTATTTTTATTACAAAAATTGGCTCCTAAGAGAAAATTTGGCCCCCTCTCCCGATAAGGGAATGTCCTTTTTTCTATTTATGTATCTATTTAACTTTCTCTTAACATTCTATTTGTGTATGCGCGATATTTTAATATAGCTTTCGACACCTACCTTATTCCATTCATAACGATAAGACAATCCGGACTGATCATTCCTATCGACGATCAATCCACACTTGTAGTCATGATCACCATGGATCCAATGGGACTGATAGCAATCAAATCGGGCCACATCTCCTGAAGGTATATTTTATTTCATTCTTTCCAGGCCTTGCTATTTGTTATATATTCTATCATCCAGCTTTTTACTATGTGATTTCCGACTTTTCCAACCTTGTAGGTATCCACTGGCCATTGCCGGCGTCTTCATCATATATTCTGGATATTCGATGTTGATAGCCCCGCAAGAGTTGTCTGAAATTTGATGAAATGCTTAATGACTTAATACATATTCTTTGATAACAAGATTTGTTCCTTTATCTTGCTTATACTGACATTGCCTCTGTGCCTCCATGCGCTCCGACAAGAAGTTGTTGTACGTCTGCATCTCCAGGTTGCCGAGGATTTTCGAGTTGAACAGCGTGTAGTCGTAGAGACACGGAACCTACAAGGAAAACTGACCAATACGACCAACTACTACGCACGTTATCGCCGCAGTCTTGCAAGATGCTTCCCGGGTCGTCTGGACAAAGTCGCTGGCCGTAGGCCTCGGATTGGAACGATTGGTATGGGGCCAGGTCGACTATAATTTGTTGGAAAGGTTGTATTCAATTGTAAATTTAAGATTCTAGAACGTTAAAATGCTAGGAAAATTTTTGGAAGCCATTAAATGCTATGCGAAAACTCGGCCTACCATTCGGGTTGTTCTGCAGATCCGTACAGGTAGAGAGGAGCTGGCTGACAATCTGCCCAGTTTGCACTTGGAATCGGTTGGGGCCACTGTTAAGAAAGTGTTTGTTATAAAAAGAAATACGACGCACGTTTCCCAGATGGGGGCCGCCTTGTAGACGGGGGCTTTGCGAGACTGTGCCTCCGGGAAAACGTCGAATGCCTTGTCTTCTTCCTGCAAAAAAAAAAGAATAGAATACATTCTCCAAGCCTTAAAATTATCCAAAAAAACGCTGGTGACACCCAGAAGGTGGAATCGAACCACTGCGCCGCTAAGCGCCTACAGGTTTGAAGCCTGCACCCCGGCCCACCGAGGGTCATCCGGGCAGCCAAGGGAAAGCGCCATGCCCCTTTTTATACCCCCGTGTTGTGGTGTGGGCCAGGTGTTACGCGTTTCGGGGGCGGCTCGCGATAGCAGGCTTCCCAAACCCACAATGTGAAACTCGCGTGCGTTTGGACAATGTTGGGTCTTGACTTACCTTGCTGGTGGTGAACATGTTCTCCTGTGGTGTTCCCTGGGTGTTGACTCCTGGCTGAGATGTCTCGGTGCCCGGCTCCCCCGTGCCGTAGACACGATCTAGAATGCGCTTTCCAGCTCGCGAAATTGTATTTTGATGCAGAAAATTTTCGCGAAACTTTCGGTGGTCGTTTTAGGTTGTGCTCAGAATACTAACATCTCAAAAACGCCAAAAATGGCTTTTAGTACGCTAGACCCCGATATACCGGCCGTGGCTCCGTAGTTTTTGTGATCATTTTGAGAGCGGCCTTAGCTACTTTAAAGCCAATCGAAACCCACAAATGAGCTTTTTATACTTTTCAAACGATGCATTAAATTCACGATTTAATCTTGTTTCAACACACTTACATTGCTGGATGATTTGCTGGCGATATTGGTCGGAGTTGACGTCATTCAAAGTAATGCCCAGGTCAAGGGAACCAGTAGATTGATCCGGGAATGGACGCATAAGGCCTACAACAAAGATAGTACACAAATTGTTGGCTTAATCTCGAGCTAAATGTACTATCCTTTATTCATTGTACAAAGCCTGCTTCTCAATTTGCCCACCTGAGACCCTCGGCAAGTTATAGATCTGTCGGAACTGGGCATCACGCACATTATCCCCATCCGGGCGCTATAATTCGCTAGTGATGGCTTACGGTAATAACACGTACCACTCCGTATCTAGGCGGAACACTGAGTTGGATGTCGAGCATTCCCATACTTTCTTGGAACATTGATAACCTGAAAGAACAATTTACGTTTTTGTATTAATGCTGTTCTTTTCCATTATTTCTTTCGATTTAAGTATGCACTTATTGCCATTTGGATAAATATTTAATTATTGGGTGAATGATTTAGTGAAAACAAACCTATCCACGTCAACGGCGTAGCTCTCACGGACGCGGATACCGATCTGCGCGTCTTCGAGCACGACATAGATTTCGGGTTGACCACGAGAATCGACATTGTTGACGTAGACAATAACTCCTGGAAATGCGCATTGCTCAAGCATTTTAGCTCTTTTCTTAAATTTGTTTTCGTCCTAGGATCCATTCTTCACAATATATAAAAACTTCCCCAAAAAAAAATTCATCTGAATTTAGAAACAAAACGAGGGAGAAAAAAAAAAAAAAACAAAAAAAACATCCCAATCAACAAAATTATTAATTAATAAAAAAAAAAAAATAATAAAAAAAATTTTCAAAAATTTTTCTCCATTTTTTTTACTTTTCAACTAATTAAAAAAAATTAACCTAAAACCCTCATTCTTTTTAAAAACGGGGATAAAAAAAACTTTTTAAAAAAAATTAAAAAAAAAATTTCCAAAAAAAATTTAAAAAAAAAAAATTTTATGGGGGTAAAAAAAAAAGTTCCTTCTTTTTTTCAATAAAAACCAAAAGTTCAATTAAAAAAAAATAAAATTAAAAAAAAAAAAAAAATTTTATTTTTTAAAAAAAAACAAAAAAAAGTAAGGAAAAAATTAAAAATTAAAAATCTTTCCCTTCCCATTAAAATTAAAATTTATACGGAATTTAAAAAAAAAAAAACAGACAATTTTTATTACACTTAAAAAAAACTGTGGTGACTAGTTCTGCACGTAAAAACTACAAAAACCTTGTTAAGGCTAAAAAGAACATCAATATATTTAATACTAGATTCCTGGACACATCCGAACTTCTGGAAAAACGCTGAATCCTTGAAAATACTCAAGACTGCTCGAATAATCTGTACGGACCCTTGAAGCGCTGCAGATGGATGGTATCAAAGTAGCGGACGATGCCGCCCACCAAGATGTCGGTGCGGTAGCGGAAGCGGCGTGTATCCTTTCGAGCCATAATGTGCACTCGCTCCGAGCCTAATTCATCACATTTGTTTTTTGTGTCAATGGCCTACCCGTGCATTCCAGCACAATACCCGTGACGACGGTGATGTTCGTCGGCTGCACGAGATCCGCTTGTGGCATATATCGGCCAAGAAGACCTAAACAATTCAGCGCTCCTGGCCTAACTAGAGATGTTACGAATCAAGTAATATAATGACCAAGTAAATTTGCTTGAACAACTTTATTTGCATCTGAAATCTTCAAGTAAATATAAAATTATTTTACTCCGTTTGCTTGAATAAGCATCAGTAAAATAAAATTACTTGTTTACTTGTCTTGATTGTTTGGGAGTTACTTGATTTTCAGCGAAATTACTTGTTTTGTGCAAACTCGCATGCATCAGGCATCGTGCCGCGAACCAGTAATTAGCTTCGATCATGTCATAAAGTTCATTACCATCCGAAAAATGCCAGAATTCCAGAAAGCTATTGTTTGATCAAGTAAATCAAGTAAATCAAGTAATCTTACTTGGCTCTTTCTCGAGCGGAGTCAAATAATATTATTTTACTTGGTCATGCGCTCAGCCCGATCCAAATAAAATAATATTGTGCCATTGTTGCAAATAATCTTGTTGTTAATTGATTCTTAACATCTCTAGGCCTAACCCCGAATGACTCACCAAAGTCGACCTTGCGATTGGGATATCGCTCCAATCGAACCTGGATGCGCACCTCCGGGTTGCGGTTCGTTTTCGGGATGTACAAATAATTGAAAACGCCCGGTTCGTCGAAAATGAACTTTTGATTGTCGATTGTGACGGTCGTTCCGCCACCAGATATTTGACCTAAAATCGCACAGAATTATGGGCTCTATGGGGGTTTTGCAACCATCAAACTTGCTCAGAATTTGTTGAGTTTTTCAACGTGCAGCATCTTTCGCTGATATAAGCTTCGTTCTTATCAGGTACGAAACAACCAGACTAATGAAATTATAACGCTTTAAAGCCCGAATCTTTAGAGGGGTGGTTTCCCGGATCCTAAACAATGAGCTTGGATTTGCGAAAAATTCTTCACAATAGATATTTGTTCCCGGTTGGAAACTCTATGGACACTAAAAGCGACTCCTTGTTAGTCCGCGACGCACCTATAGCCGGCGGTTGATACTGTTGACAGGCGCTGGACGGTCGTCTCCAATAGAACATCTGACACCGGAAATCGGCAAATTTACAACACAAGAAGTAGGGCATATAGTCGTGGACGAATACGGACAATCCGGGCACCTAAAAATTAAGCGTAATGCTCCCAATATATGATTTATGACAAGTTCTGTTTTTTCGCCAAACCCACCTCAAATTGCCCCATATAAGGGGTGGTGCCGAATTCGTAGGCCCGAAGCGGATATCCAGGATTGTAGAAATACTCGCGTTGCGTTTTTATGACTGGTTGATAGGGCGTTTGCATCAGATAGCCCGCCTCGTCGTAGCAGCACACTTGACCGTACGTCGTTCGGTATGGTCTGAAAAATGGACCTAGGCACCAGTAAGTGGTATTTACGTGGTGTCAAAGTTGTCCCAGGTTTTCCCTCCGCCCGAGTACGTGGCGAAGATGTTGCCGGCAGACATGTAGCAATTACGGGAACCGATCACCGATGTACAGGTGATATCACGGAACATCTGAATCAGCGCGTTTTCTTTTTTCGTTAAATTCGGATTTTTCAGTTTTCAATTTTTGTTCTCATATTTTCAGTATTCACATTTTCAAGTTGAATTGAATGCAAAAATGTACACAAAATTCGATAAATGATACCTGCGAGCATCGGGGATGAGGCATAAAGCGTCCGAGGTCGAGACGGGCCTGCGATTCGACGCATGGGCATGAGTGGTTGCTTTCCGTATCCATGATGAAGTTGAACAGGGCGCCGTCCTCGTCGTACCTAAATCAAAAGGTGTACCGGAAGTTGGATGCCGATAGTAACATTAGTCCGGTATGTGTGTATTAGCGGGGGGCTTTTCTATGGTTTTTGCATGGCTGGCGTGTAAATATAGTTTCAATACATTATTTATGAGAAAATTTCAACCTATTTGAAGCAGAAATTATTTAAAAATTCGAAATTCGTCCATGTTATATTTTTTAGGTTCAAAAATTGATTTTTCAGCTAAAATACAAATTTTCAAAGAAAGTTTGCAGCTTTTTTTTCAGGAATGGTTAAAAACATTGTCAGAACTAATGTTTTGGTTAGAGTAAAATCTAAGCTCAATATGAAAATCTCTGCACCATAAGACGCAAGCAAATGGCAAAAAGCAATAATAGGCAAATGAATTGGTATCATAATGTCGAAAATCATAATGTCGAAACTCATAATGTCGGAATTCATAATGTCGAAATTTCATAATGTCGAAATGTCATAATGTCGAAATTTCATAATGTCGAAATGTCATAATGTCGAAATTTCATAATGTCGAAATTTACATAGGCTAATTACCGGTGAAACCGCCAAATCCTAACCAAAAAAATTTTTCCACCTTCTATTTTTTTATCTTATTTCACGACAACGTTTTTTGTCTAGAATTCGGGGACTTTACCGGGAATTTTAGCTTATGTAAATTTCGACATTCTGACATTTCGACATTCTGACATTTCGACATTATGAAATTTCGACATTATGAAATTTCGACATTATGAAATTTCGACATTATGAAATTTCGACATTATGAATTTCGACATTATGAGTTTCGACATTATGAATTTCGACATTTTGAAAATAAGCCTAGGCAAATACCATTAGCCCTTACCAGTCGTGACACATCTGCGTTGCCTTCTTCTTTACGAATTCCTGGCGTGCGTTGATCTCGGCTTGCGAGAAGGTGGTCGTGGCAAAGTTTTGATTGTCCGGCGTCCACAACCAATGCAATGAGATGGGAGCGGTCACCAACCTAAGAATGGGCGTTTTTGGAAATGTGGCGGCGCCATACCCTGGCAGCAACTTTGTAGCGTTGAGATCATTGGCCCGCATCGGAGCCAATTTCAAGTAGCCGACACGATACGTATACAAAGTATTCATCCGTTCCCAATCGGAGAGATACCATTGTTGTACCTGAAAAGGTTTTATGCGTAATGGAAAGGAATTCCGAAAGTCAACGTCCAATTAAAAAAAATTACAGTATTCAAGTTGATCACTTCCTCTTGAGGTTTCCATCTGTAGTCATAGGTATTTCGATTCGAGTAAGTAGCCAGCCGGGCCAATGTCCGATGCTCTGGTCGGAATTTTTTGATCTGCAAAGTCCAGTTTACGCCAGAAATTCATAAAAACAAACCTCATCATCCTTAAACTCGCGGTAGCCGATGACATAGAGACCCAGCTGCACCGAATAAAGTTGATCATCCGACACACTTTGGAACGAGTTCATCAGCGTGTAGTCGGGGTTGGTGAAATTTCGAGGGTACCAAGATATTGGCATCGTCTAAAGCAACTATTCATCGATGACAAGATAAAAATCGAGACCTGTGTTTTCATCGGGTTATTGTACCATTCGTAGATATTGCCGATGTCCAGCCGCATAGGATCAAGCGTGGGCGGCACTAAAAAATAGTACCAAGTCTTTTTCGTAAAATATAAAGCTTACCAAAGTATATATAGCCCACAAAGGCTTTTTCCTCATTTGCGCCCATATTTTGTGGTTGGAAGTAGACCGTTTTCACACCCCAGTCGTAAATCTAAAATATCGTCCATTTCGTTAATAAATATCTTTTTAGAAGTCTAGGCATTTAAAAAGCTTTTAAAAGAACTTACCACAGGCAAACTGCATCTCGCTATCGCAGGATTCAATACAGTACATGTAGCTACCTAAAAAGCTCGTAAGTGAACCGATAAAAGAAAAATTCATAAGTAGCAGAACGTACATTTCTCTCCTCTATCATGAGGATATATGTCTGAGTGCGGTCGAGGCAAATGGCGTTGATGTCGACGGTGTTCTCTCCGAGCATGTTCACAATGTTCGGGTAAATGATCATCGGATCTGAAAGCAGAAAATTGTCTTTTGCAAAAAACTGCAACTCACAAGTTCCGCCAGTTTTGTTGCTGCAGCCGGCTGGGCGGACGATATCGTCAACTCTAAAAGAAATTGCCAGTGACTTTGTCTCATCAAATGTTCTGGCTTGCAAAAAGGCAGAAACTGACCGGAACATGTAGCGACCACGGACCATATGTGGAACACCAGAACGTTGCGCCAGCACCTAAAAGATTGAAAATTCAACACTTGGTCCTGTACGTACCTTGGGTGTATTCTTATAAGGTTGCGTCGGGTCGACCTCCACAAATCCAGTGTGATTTCCTCCGTTTAGCACCGCCTACAAAGAAATCAAGAGTTGAAGTCGTATTCATGGATGTTTTTATGATGTCGCAATTCGGAATGTTCATTTTATTCACCACGCCGAAACTTCGTAATGGCGAAATTAAAAATATTGAAATTCCTAATATAAAAATTTGATAATGTCGAAGCTCCGGATGAAAATTTCGGTATTATCGATTGCAACACTGATATTTAACATTTTGAATTTCAATCCTGATCGCAAATCCGTACCCGACAACGTCCGGACCGGGAATTCGCGCGGAAGTCCTGAGCGTCAAACCCAAGACGATCGTAGTTGAGGATGACGTATGACAAACGAGCGGCTGAATCCGTCAACCAGACCACCTGGTAGGTGGCCGTCTGGCCGGCATCGATATCCGAACGACCCGAGATGGCAGACGCCGTGTTGTACCACGTGACCACCACCGCCGCATCGGCGCGGAACATTGACGCGCCAGCCACACCCTCTGCAAAGGGTTTTCTTACATCCAGACAAATAAATTAGCATCTGTTTTTACAGCATTTGCCAATCTCCTACCTTGAAGCCAAGCCATCATCAAATCGAGGAAGGCGTCGCTGTTAGCGTCACACCTCGCATACGAATCGGATGTCCCGGGACAAGCCTAGAAAATTCATTAGATTAAGAATTAAAATTGATACGTTGTTACCTGACGCACGTTCTGTGAAAAGAATGTGTTCGCATTCGGGCCATAGTTCAGATTTTGGCCTGTCGATTGACCGAAAAGAGATTGACGCAGTAGCAGACGGTAGTAGAGACCCGACCGCATTGCTGGGTTACCGGTTTGCGGAACCTGAAATTATATAATTAAAGGTTCTGGACTGTTAGCGGTGGGGGAACCAAATTTTCTGCTAAACCCCCGCTAACAGTCCATAACATAATTAAATATATACGTATTTTAAACCTTAAAAAGTCTCGAGTCGTACCTGCTGTTTGCAGAGATAAGGGGCGATCATGGCCGGATCCTCCTGTCGCGGCCAATCCGTCAAATCGGGGCCAACGTTGATCGTCGGACCCTGGTCGAGCACCGACGCGAAACCCATATACCCGTTCACCGAGAGCTAAACGAGCGAGATGCACCATATAGAGGGCAAAATTCGCACCGTTGTGTAATTGTAAAGCCCTCCATAGTACGGGAAGAACATGTGCAGATCAATCGTCTGTCCGGCGGTCAACATCGACGGGTTCACCTTCAGGTCACCCACTTCCGGTCCGAATGGTACGAGATTTACTGAAAGCATTCTTATAGTTGATGGCGCGTGCATAGAACGGAAAGGTTGTGAACTAGTTGTCTGTTTCATTCCTTTTTTTGGCTCTGGTTCGTTAGCGGGGGGGGGAGGTAGACGTAACTTCCCCTTTCCAGCGAACCTGTATCATCATAAAAATCAACCATTTTCTGATCTTTTGGTATTTTCCAGACATGGCAACGGGCCCGGCCCCCGGGCTTTTTCGGCCCCAAAAATTTGCATGCGGCCGGGCCGACGGGGCTCGGCCCCACTTCCGGCGGGGCCGGGGCTCGGCTTTCCTCGACGGCCCCCGGGTTAAACCAAAATGGGGGCCGAGCCCGGGGCCGCAAGGCCGCACTCTAATCAGAAATCCCGGCTGTAAATAACTTTTATTCAAAATATTCATGCAAATGCAAAAAAATATATTTTCAAAGGGCCATACACCCCCAGGTCTATTGAACACGCCATTCCAGGCTTTAACAGGCAGGCACGGATAGCTTTTGGGCTACGGCAGGCTCCCTTGCACAAGGGGACAGCGCGCTCGCTACGTTTTTGATCGAAAATGAACAAACTTTTGGACAAAACTGGATTTTTCTCGAAATGTAATAGAAAAATTAGAAACTCAATTAGATTTAAATATTCTAGACGCCAAGGCGCAGATTTTGAGACCTAACTATCGAAAATCTATTCTGGTACTTTTTTGTGATGGTCTTTGAAGTTCAGTTCAGGATTTTGTGCGGTTTTAAATAGCGCAGAAACCAAGCATTGTCGCTAAAATCTGAGCCTAGATTTGGTAAAATCAAGGTCGATTACCCCACAGTGCGTGAAATCGACGCTTAAAATGGCTCCAAGTGACTGTTTTGCGAAAATGTACGCCAGTGGATCAACGGTCTCTTTTTGATCGGGTTAATTTTTCCCGATCCTTATTGTTTTAGCAGTTTTCAATGGCTTGAGCACAGTTTTTAAGCAAAACGCAAAAACTTGGCAAAGGTTTTGGGGAGAAATAGCGGTTGCACGTTGGTCCCGGGGGTCGAACCCGGACCCTCTGTTTGAGATTTGGGATCGGCGCTAACCGATTGCGCCGCGGCCCCGGGGGGTCCTATCCGTGCCTCCATGGAATGCCGTGTGAAGCCAGATCAGAACGTCTTCAAGCCCGTATTTTACAACTTTTTGATCGTTGGGACAAATGATTAAACCAATTTAATTAATTTTACAAAGATCGATGTTCTAACTGAACCAACGCACATAGAATTTCCATTGCAAATTTGCATATTAGCATCTGAATTTGGGCGCAAATGAGCTATTTTAGTTTCCGGGGCCGAGCCGAATCGGCCGAGCCCGGCCCCGGGAAAATTCGGCCGGGCCCGGGCTCGGCCCCGCGAATTTGCATAGTTTTCCGGGGCCCGGAAGTGGGTGATTTTTCATGCAAATGAGATTCCAGGCCCGGCCCCGGGGCTCGGCCGCCTGGAATTGCCATGTCTGGTATTTTCCGATTATTAATCTGGTTTTTCGAAATTTTCGGCAATTGGGATCAAAAAAATTACCAAAAAATCAAGTTTTCTGACGTTTTAATAAATTCTTATAGCCTTTGTTTCCCTAAAAATTGGATAATACCAATACCTTATAGTTAGTGATTAGCACCTACTGCAATGTATCAAAAACATTGCCCCACACGATAACGAACCGGCACCACCTTTTTAATTCCCCATATTATTGTGCTAATGAACGGTAACGTCCCTCCTCACTTCCACAACCCCTCCCATCCTCAGCAAAGGGTTAGGGACCCAGGTATGCTAATTCTCATGGGCGCTTCAGGGGGGTGTGGGCCCCCGCCGGGCGGGAGCTTCTATTTGTCGTGTTGGAGGGTGGATGGGACTTGGGTGGGTCGAAGGCGTATGCAAATATCAGACGCGACCTCCCGTATACCCACACGAGCACCACATCTACCGGATAGTCGACTTGGTAGCCAGCCCTCGGGGGGTCATTCATCGATCCACAACGGCAACAAGGTCAAAAGTTGGGTTTTTTGAAAATTGAAAAGTGAGAGAAGGCCATGATTTCGAGGCAAAATTGGCAACTGGTTGAGTTTGAATATTCAGAAAAAAAAGAGAGCAAGAAGGCAACATTTATTTACCTTTTACGGGGTTTTTAGGTATAGAACTTTCATAAAAATCTCAAAGCTCCAAGCCAGAAAGATATCAAAATGGCCCCAAAAAACGAGATCATCTGAAATAGGCTAGAGAAACAGTCCCCACCGCTAACAGTCCAGTACCACTGTACAAAATACAAACAGCGTACGAGGACGCAGCATTCAATTTACACCAAAGCACTCACCTCCATAATTTGGGTTCGATCCCGTCCCTGTGAATATCGTCCCTCCAGCTCCATTCAACCCGGAACCGACCTGCTGGGCTCCTAAACAACAATCTTCCTCGAACATCGCCTTTTGGCCTCACCAATCCCGATATTCTGGTTGCCAATGTTGACGTTTTGGGTGCCGATCTGTGGCACGAGTAAGGCGAATAGCACCAGGCATAACCGCCTGGTACTTCTACCCATGCTAAATGGAAGTGATTAGCAAGCGAATTGGATCCGTGAGCCACAGACACGGAGCTGGTATAAACACCGGACATTCCATTGGGGCTTGTTGGACAGAAATTGCAGAAGTTTAAGCCGGAGAATCATTTGGCTAAGTAGATAAATTTTTGGCTTTTAGAGAATATAGGTCTGTAGAATTGAATCGCTCGTGAGAAAGTTCGTGAGAGAGAGAGCGAGAGAGAGAGAGAGAGAGAGAGAGAGAGAGAGAGGGAGAGTTAGAGAGAAAAAGGAAAAAAGAAAGTTCGTGAATTGTGTAATTTCAGAAGCCTGAAGGGCCGATAATGGCTGAGGCATCCGAAAAACAAGGAGACTATTTATACAGCGTGCTTAAAAATGGCTTTAACAGGCTGTATCTATAGCCTAGCGTTCATAAAAGGTTACATTTGTGGCAGTGCTTCAAAAAAAAGTTGACCAGGCTAGAGCAATAAGGAATTAAGATGTTGTATTAACGGACCAAGGGTTTAGGAAAGGTTACATTTTGCAATAGTACTGCAAAAAAAGTAGCACAGGCTACAGGAACCGGGCGCTAAAAACCTTTATCTAGGGATTAGCCTTTTTAAAAAGTGACACTATGTAGCGGTAGTCCTAAAAAAGTGGGGGGGTTGACAGCTGTAATCAATCCCCTAGAGCAGAAGTTACATGCTGTAGTAGTCGTTCTAAAAAGCAGCAAGTAAAAAGGCTACAGCATCAAAGCAAGATCAGGGGAAATTAGGGTGGCTGGGGGCGAGCCGGCGCACAGCTTTGTGTCCCAAATAGAGGAATTGGTGCGTGGCGGGTAGGTTTCTCGGGGCCTCAACCAACCAGCACCAGCAGAAGACCGTGTTTGTGGGCTAGGGGAGGAGGCCCCGAGGCCCTGATGCAGTACTTGGTCCTTTCGGGGGCACTGGGCCCTAGCCCCGACATTCCCCCACCACCACCACCACCACCCTGAACGCCAGACAAACACTCGCGCACCCCCCCAGGCCAACGTCCTCCACAACCACATAGACCTCGCCGGGGAGACGCATCGGGGACAAGACGGTTCCGATAAAACAACCAAATCAGTGAAGCAACACTTGCCCGCATCGTAACCCTGATATATACAACGTGGTCAAACCTCACGTTACAGGCGCTAATGCGGTTAGTGGGGGGTCCGAAATCGGTAGTCAGAGGTTACGAGCTACTTCGTTTTTAGGTGGGCTTAACTTAGCTTTTAATTTGGTTACCAGAGGCTTAAGCTTTAAATTGCCTTACGAGATCAAAATGGGGTCATTTGGGGGATTAGTTTAGAGCTAAGCTTAACTTGGCTCAAGCTAAACCGGGGCTTCGTTCGTATCAAGCTCAGCCTAGGCTTCAGCTTAGCTTTGCCTTTCCAAAGGCTTAGATTTTAAAAAACGGCATTTGGACCGCCTCGTAGTCAAAATTCGGACTGCCCCCCCCTGCCCTCACTATATTTGAGTAGCGCACACCGTGCTCACTGTTTTGAATCACTATCAAACACCTCTGCAAATACTTTCCAGAATGCGACTCGTAGGCATCATTACACGCCGCTTTGCAAGTCATCAAACCGAGCCGTTTCCGACCAAGTCGCCTGAAACCGGAAATTGGTCCAAAAAGCCGGTCGCCGTTCCCCATCTTGATTTTAGCGTTGCTACCAGGAGTCCGTCAGTTTCGAACAACGACCGGATTAGTTTTAACTTACAAACTTACAAACTAACTTACAACTTACTTACTTAAAAAGTTTTCTTTAACTTATAGCGCTTTTTTCAGGTAATGCCGGCTTTTCGCGTCTTTTAGGATCCCCGTAACAGAATTCATGAATTTCCGCGTCACCCAACAATTTAATGCTGGTACAAGCGCTAGCTCGTAGCTATACCTTTTCGGGATCACGTGGTCCGATCGGCAATTTGTTGGTACATCCGGTGAAAAGGAATGGACTGCGTTTGTTTATTGCCCATGTTACAGTCCTTATCAGCCGGCGTCCCTCGATAATTTGGGTTTTTTTGTGGCGGTTTCCATGAAAGCCCTGGAACATCGGGCGCTAACAATGTCAGCCCATGGTATGAATGCCCTAGTTCTATATTTGTCAGAAAAAAAAGTTTCTTGAAGAAAGCGTCTCGGAATGCGAAGAAATTGAAAAGAGTAATGGCACTCTGTGGGCAGGAACAATCTAAAAATCATTTTTTTCCAAGTACGCTGGATTAGGCTCCAAAATCGGGTTTTCGCTATTTCCTGAAGCCCCGGTCGCATCGCTCTCTCTTTTCGGCGCACTAAAAATGAACCCGACGCCGAGGAATCGATTGCTTTTTCCTCCATCTCCGCCCTCCGAAAATGCCATGAACTTACCGCAGACGTTCACAAACAGCCAGGCTGCTTTTCTTTTTGAGGCGAGGATATGTTCTGTTTCTTGAATGGCAGTTCCGCGCATCTTTACTCGAATTATTAATTCGACCCATCGCCAAATTGAGTTTTTAAGTGCATTTTTTGCGCTGCCATTGAGAGAATAACAGCCTAGCCGTAGAAACTAATAAAACCGATAGAATAAGTATATATCCACTTTCGTCAGTCATTTTTTCACATTCGCGTGGCTCTGCTTTAACTTTTATGCGATCTATGGTAACATTTGCCTTTTAATTACATTTTTGGTCCGGTGGCGACGCTAGCACAAATCTCGCGGTAGAAACTAATTAGTTATTATTATTTTCAACCTATGATAGGTTCAAAATAATATCAATTTTCCCACTTCGGTCATTCATTTTCCCACATTCCCATCCAGACGTTCACAACACGGCCTCAGAAAACAACCATTTTTGATGTGTACCGCTGGAATGCGGCTAATACGATAAGGTGGTTGATGAACCGAGAAGTGGTCACGTGGAGCCTCACCCGGCGCATTAGCTCTTGTTTTGTGTGTGTCTTTGTTGAGTGGGAGAAACGTCTCGATCCCACCACGTGAGGTCGCCCAGATTCCGTCTGATTCTTTGGCCTTATCTCCGTCAATACACACATTTCCGTGTGCCGCCTCTTTGCCTTTCTTTTGTCCTCGAAATGTTGAAGTTCAACTCCTTTTTTCAGGGCGATGGCCACGTGGGTGTCGATTCGTCTGGGCGGAGCTAGAAGACTCTTCAAAAGAGATGAGCCCTCCACCTCGGCAGCCTTGTTCCTCATCTCGAGAAGAAGCCTACACTACCACAAGGGACAACCGATCTACACTTCTGTTACTGGTGAGTAAAAGTTTTATTTGGGTTGTTTTATTTGTTAGGACCTCGCGGTGGTTCGCTTTTCTCGAAACTATTTTTGATTAAAGTTTCTTCATCATATCAATAAGAACTTTTCGGCTAAGCCTTTTGGTTCATTAGGATTCGCAGAGGGAAACCAACTTTTTTTGACTTCTTCAAACATTTTTCTAACTTTTTTTGAAAGCTTTTCTACTTAAAATATAGTTAAAACTTACTAAAAACTGAAAACACTTTATATTTGATTACTAGGCCAACCTGGACCGCCAGGAAAAAAAATTGGTCCCCCTCGGATCCTAAAGAAATTGCCTTTTTATAAATATCGGGAAAGGGGAGCCAACTTTTCATTTGTCAAAAAGCCAACAATAAACATTTTCCTCCCCGCGCTCACCCCAAAAAGATGGAATTTAATCGTAATCTTTTGTATTATGATCTCAAGCTGGCACATGTGTGTGTAAAGCGCCCAAATTTCGACCGGACCGCCAGGAATAAGATTAACGCCTTATCACCTAGCCATGAGATTTTGGGGCGAAGTTCTGAATGCCCGATTTGGCTCTAACGGATTAGGTCAGGGAAGTGGGCAGGCGCCCTTTGAACAGCTGTTGAAATCACGTGCACCCGTGGTTCCTTTTGTTCGGGGCGGTATTGCGACAATCGTATATATGACGTGGTGCCCTGGGCGATAGATGTATTTTAAACCGTTATCGGTTACAGTTTTGAAATAGTATACCGAAATTTGTTGTTCGGTTCTTTGGCATTAACAGGGGGCGGGGGGGGGGGCTGAATGAAACCAACTTTTTTGTATAAATCCAGAAATGCCTAGTAAGTGAATAGACAGTGTTTCAATAGTGTTTTAATAATATATAACTATATTGAAATTTGACAAACTTTTACAAACTTTTAAGACCGTTGAAAAAGTCGGCATTTTGGTCGCAAAATCGATACTTTTTAATAAAAATGTGTGTGTTTTCAGGTTTAGGATTTATATTTGAGAAATGAGTTCTTAAGAAAACAAGTTGCCCCTCCCCCCGATAATGCGAAAGAACCGCGAATTTTTACTTTTAAAAACTAGATGAAAGCGTTACAAATTATTAAAAATTTATAAATTTTGATCGAAAATCGGCCATTACATACATTCAGGGTAAAAGGGTGCCGCCATCGAATACGCGCGTTTCTTGACCTAGCCTGCGGGCATGTTTTCGCTAAGCCGGGGAACCCCCTCCCCCAAAAAATTACTTCCCGGGTAGCCGTCTAACGAATAACAGGCGTCTCGCTTCCACGTGAAAGTCCAAGCCGCGCACAGCTGCGATACGGAGATCCTCGTGTTTTCGCAAAGCATGAGCCGTTTTCCGCGAAATATGGGCCGGAGCAGCGGGGCAAAAGTGAACCCGAATGTTTTGATAGATCCCCGTGGCGTCCCGGGTCCATCCGAATCGGCGCACCCAATATTTTGCGGCTTTTCCAGATCTTTGGGATATCCGGTGCGGCACGCATATTTTGTTCGGCTAACGCTTATTTCGACAGAAAAACCGGTTTTTTTTTTGGTCAGGCGGTAGTTGGTTAGCTCTCAATGATCGCGCTAAGTTATCTAATTCTCTACGGGGTGTCCCAATAAAAAAACACACCGTCTAATTGCAACAAACTTAAAAACCATGTTTTTATTTACACCCGCGATTTTACAACGCATTTAAAAACATCATAGAAGTGCCTCTGCAACTAATTAAAGATAACTTACGATCAGTTTGCTTGGAGAAATGGTAGCAAATTAGCGCGTATGCAACCCCGAAAAACCTGAAAATTTTAAAAAATGGCTTGTAAAATGGCGGTTTTAAATAAAAACATGGTTTAGGAGATTTTTTTCAACCTCGCCGTGTAGGCTTTCGATTAATTCGATTCGATTAGTGCAACTATCGTTCCGATCCGACACTTCTGCGTCGAGTTAGAGGGTTTTTTTGAGGACACCCTGTCCGATTCTTTCGCCATTTTTAAAAATATCATTGTCATTTTCTTTTTAAAAAGACATGGATGACCGGTTACACGACCCAAAATTACGTAGTAAGAAAAAAGAAAAAGTCTTTACCTTGCCTTTCTTGCGGTAATGTTCCCCAGTATTTCCATTCAGTGTCCCCTCCGTCAGCCCCGATCGATACAAATCGATTTGGCCGCCATGAGCATCTTCTGAAGGACAGGGGGTTGGGCTCGGGCCGCGGGCGGGGTCTGTGTGCATGTCTGGCCTGGGAGTCGGGTCCGCCTGTTCCCAGCCCGGGTGCGGCTTCTCCCCCTCTCTTGTGGCCTCGGCCCTCCCTCAAGTCCGCGTCTTCCCGGTCCGATCCGGCCATGGCTGCCACACCCACCATCACCGGAGCCACCACCCCCTTCGCTCCATCCGGGCCCGCCATTTCACCCCCAGCTCCTCGCAATTCTCAGCTCTAATCTTCTACAGTTTTTCTAGGCATTTTTTGAGTGCGGAATTAAGTAGCACGAATTGCATACTGTAAAAGTTTTGACACTTTTTCGATCCTCTGCCATTTTACCACTCTTTTGCTTTGCACCTTGTTTTTCAGGCTTTGCCTCGCCGGGCAACATCTCCCACCTCGTGCTACTGTCGACTCGACGAGCCCCAGCACTCTTCAGGAGATACATACAGTCAGCCACATCACAGCAACCAATCGACGTAAGCCGCGAGGGGCTGTGTCTCAAAGGAAGGCTCTTTTCAGATGCGCACCCGTGCCCCCGTGTTCGACATCTACTGCGGTGGCTCCCTCCTCGCCGCCGTCCAGAACTCGAAGATGTTCGACGACTGCAAACACTTTGTCGACATGCCCCTCAAACTTGATGCAGGTTCGTTTTGCTTGATATACCGAGGGTGGCTTTCGTCTTTCCTAAGAGTAGTTTTTCCTAAATTGTTTTCAAAATTGGGGTATCTGCGGCTCAGGGAAAGGCAGACGAGTTCTAGAAGAATAACCTTTAGAAAATATGACATTAATCTTCAAACGGCTGAATTAGATTAATTAAACCATCTGGGAAATGTCTACTAAAATGCCCCCTCAATGCCACTTTTTGCAATTGGGACACGGCTCACGGCCAGTCAAACAGGCCAAAAACGGCAATCTGCCGGGAGGGGCAAAAGCGTCGATTGGAGCGGAACGTAGCGGGCGCCAAAAAGTTTAAGCTCTTATAACTTTTTCAAACCGACTTAATATTGAAAACCCAATATCAATTATTGCAGAGTAGAATTTTACGGTTCGAATGATACCAAAGACAGCAAGTTAGCCCTCCGAAATACCACTTTTCACAAAGTCGTCAACAAAAACCGCCTTCGTTTCGATACTTTTTGAATTCAGTTTTCTTAGTGCTTGGTATCATTGGAATCGCCTTTTCCCATTCTACAAAGTTGGAAATCGCTTTTTTTAAGATTCCATTTAGTTTTAAAGTTATAAGGCTACAAAGTTTTGGCCCCATACATTTTCTTGACGAATGGAGCATCGCGTTGCTTAGGCCCTTATTGCCGCAAATTCTGGGCGTGGGCTGTTGACGCCGCTAGAACGCACCGAGGAAAAGGGGGGGTTGGGAAATGTTCTCACAGCCGGGTACATTCCCAGCCCTCCTCTTTCTTGTTTTCTGTCCCCTCTTCTTCGGCGGGCCTCTCTCACTTGATACCGTAGACCCGTGCCCCCACGAGCTTCACGTGAACGCCATCCTCCTTCTTTCGCTTGTTTTCGCGGGGGAACCCCCGGCGGCTGAGACATTTTTCTCGGGAAATGGCTGGGGCGTGCGTGGTTTCGCTGGGAATATCGAGATCGTTGCCTTGAAAGGGCATACATAACCAGCTGCCTTGGTTGCGTTTTTCGATCTAGTTTCGGGATTGAGAAGAGATTTTGGAAAAGGAAAGAAGTAGAAAAAAGAGGACATATTTCCTAAATGGCTTCATCACAGAGGCAACGCTCGCCAACTGGGACACGCTGCAAGCACAGGGACCGCTCAGCGACGAAGCACTTCGAGCATTCGTCGCCACCCATTTCGACGCCCCGGGTTGCGAACTGGAGGAGCACAAACCGCTGGACTTTGACGCTGACAGCACTGCCTATGCTGGTAATTAATTTCAATTGTTGATTAAAGCAGCGAGTATAATCACAAAGGCAAAATAGTCTAAGCAATGGCCGGGAAAAATTTGGTAGAATTTGAAAGACGATATGTCCCCTATTACTTCTTTTCTTTCAGGGGTCCACGACGAGCAGTACCGAGACTGGGCCACAAAGCTCCACAAAAAGTGGCCGACGCTTACGCGCCGGGTGAAGGATCTGGTCCACAGTGACCCGGCGCGGTACTCGCTGATCGCCCTCCCACATCCATTCATTGTTCCGGGCGGCAGGTACAGATAATTTAGCCACCTTTATGGAGCCAAAAAAGCTATAATGTTGCCCCATTTCTTGAGTACAACCGATTTTCCAGATTCCGCGAACTCTATTATTGGGACTCGTTCTTCACCATCAAAGGCCTCATCGCCTCCAAAATGTTTGCCACGGCCAAGGGGATGATCCACAACATGCAATTTCTTGTCGAACAGTGAGTTTCGCAATTCTTGACTGAATGTGTTTTTTAGGTACGGCTTCGTTCCGAATGGAAATCGCATCTACTACCTCAACCGGTCACAGCCTCCAGTGTTGGCCTGGTGTGTCCACGCATACTGCCAGGCAACCCGTGACGCTGAATTCGCCGCCCAGCTACTTCCGACGCTATGGAAAGAGATGGCCTTCTTTGAGAACAACCGTGTCTACAAGGAAGAGCATTGGGTCGGCCACCTATTCCGCTTCGTAGTCTCGGCTGATGGCCCTCGCCCCGAGTCCTATCGTGAAGACGTGGAGTCGGCTCATCATCTTACTGAAGGTGAATTTTGGGTTCTTTAACATTTCCGGGGGGGGGGGGGCGATCTTTTTTATATGAGTCTATAAATGTCTAGTAAGTTAATAGACAGTGTTTTTAGTAATACATAACTATATTTGAACTGAAAAACTACCTAAAAACTTTCAAGAATGTTGAAAAACTCGAAATTTTGGTCAGAAGTCGGCCTGTTTCGGTCGAAAAATCGATATTTTTGATGTTTTTAATAAAAATTTGTACATTTTCCATGTTTAGGAATGCTAAAAAAACCATTTATAAACACTGCCACTATGTAAATCTGAAAAATAAGATCCGAAGAAAAGGTCTCTGCCCTCCGTCGATCATTTTGCGGATTTAATCTACAACTTTTCAGAATCAGACAAGCGTCGCCTTTGGGGAGACATTGCGGCCGCGGCAGAGAGCGGACGCGACTTCTCGGCCCGCTGGTTCGAATCGAGCGGCCCACACGCTGGCAAGATGAGCAGCACACGCACCAGCCAGCTGATTCCCGTCGAACTGAACGCCATCATGTACGCAAACTACCGGATGATGGGCGAGCTCTGTGATATCCTCTCCGACATCGACGGGTCAAAGCGCTGCGCTCATGCAGCCGATCGATTGAAACAGACCATCAAACAGGTTAGTGTTGGCTTCGAAATGAGATGAGGCATTGAAGAAACAACCTTCGAAGAAATCCCTACAAGTATTATTTCTTTCAGGTTCTATGGAATGAGGAAAATGGATGTTGGTTTGACTTCGACCTGTCAACCCGCGAACACTCTCGCCTATTCAACGACACCAACCTGTTCCCAATGTTTGCCGAATGCGTCCATGATGGTGAGATTCGGAGTTGTTGCCTAAATAATCGTATTTTTAGGTTTTGACGGCGCACGTTTATGCAGCTACCTGAAAGACACGGGGGTACTCGGCTATCCGGGTGGCCTGCCCTCGTCGATGACACCGAGCGGTCAACAGTGGGACTTCCCGAACGCGTGGGCCCCGACAACATGGATCGCCATCCAGGGGCTTCGGGCCTGCCACCAGTACGAGATGGCCCAAAATATTGCTGACAAGTGGATCCGCAAGAATTTCAATATGTGGCGCAGTTCCGGTGGAAAGATGTTTGAAAAGGTGGTTATTTAAATGAGAACTGCACGAATAGGGGTTAATGTCATAATACGGATTGTCAAAATTCTGTTTCTTATCATCCCGGTTTTCGGTTCTTTCGGATTCGCCGAGAGAGGAAAGTATACTTTTTTGGCGTGCCTAGATTTTTTTATAAATAGTGAATGCGTTTCTACATTGTTTTTAACTATTCCTAAGCATGAAAAAAAAAAGAACAAATTTTAGCTAAAATTTAATTTTATGTCGAAAAATTGATTTTTTTTGAGCCAAAATAGCGAAATTTTTCTATTCGTTTTTTGATTTTTCGGCTTTCTCAAACACCTGTCTTGCTTGTCAAAGTTTTGCTGCTTTAACTATGGTTGTAACTTGGGAAAAACGATGTAAAAACACTTTATATTTGGTTACTGGGGCCAACGGGGCCGCCAGGAATAAAATAGTATGTAGTAATTCGGGCGAAATATCGTGCACGACGTGAAAGCTCAAAACTGACCATTTCATTTCAGTACAATGTCGTCTCGCCATGCTACAAAGTCGGCGCTGGAGGCGGTGAATATGACGTGCAGGAGGGATTCGGCTGGACGAACGGTGTTGTGCTCGACCTCCTCATCACGTACGGTGACACTCTATTCTGGACACCCGGCGACGAATGTGAATGCTGCGGCGGCCACATCCAAGCCTGCGCCGCGGAGGGTCAGACCGGCCAATGAATGGTGCCTCGATCGAGGTCGAGTGAGACGGTCGATCGACCGTCTCACTAATTTCTCACCAAACTATTACTAGGCCAATGATTAATTCTCTATATTAATATTAATTAATCTACTCGTGATTTTTAGACGAATATTCCCTTTGCCTCTTTTAGAAAAACTGAAAACATTTCCCACTCGCCATTGTGCCATTTCGAGAATTCTGGTTTTTTTTTTGCTGTATCACTCGTCTCCTTTCTGGATTGTTACGTGTTTTCTCGCGCCATCGATACGTGTGCGGTTGCGGGTGCCTGCGCTAAATTTTCTAATTTTCTACTTTTGCGGACGGGTGGCACCCGCAGCCCTGGGTACGGCATAGAGAAGTCGGCTTCTAGAATTCATTTTGTGTACATTTTTTGGTAGTGGTTAATTCTGGCAAACTGTTTGCCCGCGATTCTGTAAGCCTGTACATAATAAACACTAAAATCTCAGGCCCTGGAGTACACGTTTAAATACACCAAGAAAGAAAACTAGAAAGTCCCTAGGATTTGAGCTATTGGCGTCATTTGGCTTGCTGCGTAGCTGTCGAGATCTAGTCGATGGAAAGGGTCGCTCATGGCGTTCGAAGGGGAATCGGGATCGAAAATCGACAGATTTCGCTTACTGGGTCTAGACAGATACGTTGCGCGAAAATACGATGAGTGTCAGAAATTTTTGAAGGTCTTAAAGGGCGTCTGGCAGCAAGCCCCTTTTTCCATGACTCGTGGAAGCGTCGCGGTCGGGTGCGTCGCGGCAGGGAGAGAAAGAGCGCTCCCAGAGGAGAGACGCAGACAGAACTCTGCGTCTCTGCCCGGTCCCCAAAATGCCGTAATCGGTGTGCTGCCAGAGCCGCTTTAAAGAGATGAGGACGGCATCTGTTGAACTCCCCATGGGGAGGGGGGTTCAACAGGTCCCAGCGCGACCGGCGGCGAGAGAGGGCGCCCAGGGGAGAGGCGCAGAGACATTTTCTTTCCCGCGCGTAATCGATTGACTTATGCCGCCCCTATCTCTTTAATTGCGAAAAGGGCCCAAAATGGTCCAATTTCGGCAAATTTTTGCCTTTTCCTCCCGACAAAAAGCTTCATAACTTTTTGAATCTTATCGTTTCGCAGTTTTTTAAAACAGACTCGCACCAGCGCAAAATTCCGCACCAGTTAGGGGTGGTCCTGTACAGAAACACGATTGCCACTAAAAACGCTTCCTTGTGAGTAGATGGCAGAAGCTGACGTGTGAAGAGTCACATTTTTGCGCACACTATATACGCGTTTAATTCGGCCCCGGACAACCCGAAAAACTCGGGCACATGGAATAATAGGTGCAAACCAGCCATCCAACCTCCGCCCCCCCCCCGAACCTCATTGAATGGGATGTTGGCTCATCGCGAAGCCGGTCGGGTCAGTGGAGGCAAAAATGGCCCGTCCGCCTCCTTCAGAGCTTCTTTTCGCAGTCACACCCCCTCTACACCTAATTGGCTGAAGTTGGCGCTGTCGCTGACCGCTGGACCCTTGATCCACTCTCGCCAATGTGGTCGGTGCTGCCATTTCTGCCATCTTTCTTCTACGGTTAACAATTGCCATCTGAAACCTGAATTGTCATTTATACAACATTTTACAATTACTACAGCAGTTTCACTTTTGGGATTTTGCTTGCGGCAGGTACTGTAGCTATATGAAATATGCCGATTTGGGTTCTTTAGAATTCGCGGGGGGACCAATTTTTTTCTTAGCGGTCCCGGCTGGCCTAGTAATCAAACAGAAAATGTTTTTAAATTGTTTTTAAGTTTGAACTATATTTAAAATAGAAAAATAATCAAAAAAAGTTGAAAGATGTTTGAAAAAATCGAAAATTTGGTCATTTTAGATCGAAAAAATAAATTTTTCGACCTAAACTTAAATTTTTTAATTTAGACCAGGGTTGAAAAGCCGCTACGCGACTTTTCAACCCTGGTCCCGTTTTAAACCAATGAAAGTGAGCACTTTGCATAATTCGGCCCCACCGATGCTGAAAAAAGTGAAAAATGAGCTCTCTGCTCCTTTATATAGGCAACCCCTACTTCCGGCGTATGCTAATATATTCCTAACAAAGAGGGTCTCGGATTTTTTTAATAAAAACTAAAATTTAATGTCGAAAATAAGCGATTTTCATAAATCTGATATGCGTGATCTACAGGCCATTACGCTCCTGATGACGTATCAAACATACCCTTAACTACTTTCCTTCCTGAGATACTGCTGGGACACGCTGACGGAAGTTGCATGCAAAGTGGCACACACACGCACACAGACACTACTTCCTATCCTATAAGCGAGAAAAGTATGTTTGTTTTCTGTACAGCCGATTTCTCGGCCCCCAGGCCGAATTTTGAGCTGATTTTTGGCATGGAGGTGGAGAAACACATTTGTCAGTGACGCATTTTTTGTTTTTCGAAATTCCTTCATTTAACGGTTTTACAAGCAAAATAGTGAAAAATCCTTAACATCTTGGCCGAAAAAAGGTTTGTTCAGAGGATATCTCCCCAGCCAAATGGAATTAGGCGCTAATTTTTGGAGGGCAGATTGAAAATTACATTCTCCTGTGATATAATTCTGGGTTTTGGCAGATTTTGTAATCTAAAATTTTTATGAGCATTTTTCCAAAAAGTCCTTAACAAAATGGGCCAAGAGCCGTGGTGTCCGGGGCATAACTCGAAGCCCTGATGGAATTCCGGGCTAAAATTTGGACCACTTATGTAATCGATGGTGCTTCTTAGGCGCAGCTTATTAGATTTTACAAATTCGATCATCTTCCACCTCAAAAATCGATTTTTGTAAAGTGACTAGACGGCGCCCGGCGGATCCCCAGAGGATGAAGAGGCCTGTCCCGCAATGCACTCCCAACTCCATGTGGTGTAAGGGAAGCGCACCAGGTCCTCGGCGCTAGGGGTCAAGGGTTCGGATCCGGCGCGATGACTACTTTTTGCTTTTTGGTAATTCTTCTAACAAACATATTGCTTGGCTCTCCGTATGCAAGATTTAGGTCTGGCCTTCGCTCTAGCGCCACAGGCCAAAGGAAAGGTCCTTAGCTCGGACTCTCCCGCCGCAGGCCAAATCCTGGAGGAAACCAGTAAATAGCGCCGCAGGCTCAAAGATTCTGGCTACGTTGGCTCTGGCGCCGCAGGCCATGGATGGTTCCTTGCCCCAGATCAGCTAAATCCAGGGGGGTGGGGGAAACGTAGTGGCTGGCGCCGCAAGCTCAAAGGTTGGAGCGCAACGCTGGCTCTTGCGGCGCAGGCCAAAGAATGGTTCCTTGACTCAGGCTCTTGCGCCGCAGGCTTCAAACAAAGGAAAGAGAATTCATGGGTCCTAGACGGGGTCCAGTGGAAAAGGGCCGCGAAGCGGACTTTTTCCACTGGTTTTTATATATCGTAGGATTTGTATAGTTTTTATGATTAGGAATAGCTAAAATGAATTTAGAAACGCATCCGCTATTCATAAAAAAATGTAGGCTTGAGGCGAAAAAAGTTGATCCCCCCGCGAATCCTAAAGGAAAACCTCGAAGCAAAAGATAATTTTCGTACGATTTCGAGATACGACATTTTTTGCCTTCATTTTTCTATCCCATTTCCGGCAAAAAACTGACTGTTGCATCACGACTTCGCCAATTTTCAGCCTCATCTTCCAAGGCTCCATTCTTCTTCCCCCTATAGTGTATCTGAACCGCGACCGTCAATTCTTCGGTTCAGTTTTGCGTGCCGTTCCCTCAAAGCTGATGGCAACACGCGTTTCGCCAAATCCTAAAGCTAATCATCGGCTGCCCCTGAATCCACTGCGGCACGCGAGGGTTGCTCCTGCCTACCTTTTCCACCTGAGCAAGAGCCGGCTCTCCCCTCTGCCCCCGGCGGCGGTGACGCCTAATTGTGCCCATTTTCAAGACCCCCGACCACTCCGTTTCGACCGGCGCCGATGTGCGCAACAGGGGATGCCCTGATGCCCGAGAGAAGCTTTTACGTTGCGCAACCGGACTAGAAACTTATTTCGACGACGTTTTTGCCGATAATGGCGCGCACAACGGGATCCCGCGCTAAAAGTGCGCGCCGCCTTTCAGATGCGCTTGCCCAGCTTATTAATGCCTCACGTTTGCAGAAGTACCGCACTTCCTCCGATATAACCCGAGGTTCTATTTTTTCAATCACATCCCAAAGGCTAATATAGGCTAGATCGAACAAAATCTTCGAATTTCTACCGAATTTGAATGTAAAAGTGATCGATTCGGCTAACTTGATCAATTTTTGACTTTTAAACGGCTAAAAACGACTCGGGGCCGATGCTAAAGCATAAAAATAACCATTATTTGCGTTTTCTTGAATTTTAAAGCCATTTAACCTGATTTTAGACGAACTACGGTTGCGATCCCAGTTCCGCTCGTTCTCTTGAGGCCATTAGCTTTTTTGAGCAGGGCGAAATTCGTGATCCTTTCCCAGATGACCCGATAGAATAATTATCCTCCTTCAGCACACGTCCGACGCATCAAATTAGCCTATTAATTGTGTGCGCATACCAAAGGCTGATCCTTATGACCATACTCCTTCCTCAAACACCTCTAACTAGGATTGGTTTTTTGGGTGTTCTTGGAATTTTGTAATGTGAAATAGCTCATTGAGCTTGAAATTCTGGCCAAGTCCCATCTTTCGAAAATTGCTGAACGATAACGGTCTGCGAGAATCAGTTTCTCAAAGTTAGCATTTTGTTAAGTGGGGGTCAAAACTGGACAAAATCGGCCCTTCCAGAGCGAATTTTCTTGAAAACCGGTGCCTTCAGCAATTTTTGAAAGATGGGGCTATGAGCTATTTGACATAACAAAATTCCAAGATCACCTAAAAATCACTCCTTTTATGCTTTTCTGGAAGGGCTTTTAAGAACTTACCTGAAAAGAAAGTCGCTGCCAAACGGTGCCGGTAATTACAATACCGTTTAGGAGACCTCTACAAATTATGACCAAGGCCATTCAAGGGCTGTGTCTTGCTCTGCTCCCCGGTGGCCGTTTACCGTAATTCAGCCCGAGCAAGGGAACACCAAGCGGGCGGCGATAGATCACAGACTCCGCGCACAGAATGTCCTCATTACAGTTTTTTAGAGAACTTTCTATCGCCCCGAAGCGGAATCCCTTCCCCCTTAAAATCCAGCTGGGCTTTGACCAGTGTTTCGCTGGTCGACGGCTTCTTACTCTGCCTAATTTCCGAAAGTCTGCCGTGATGTTCGATTTTTTCGAAATTGCATTATCGAAACCTAAAAAACCTTCCTAGAATCCATCCAAAAGCGGCTAGGGCTATCACGACGACACGGAGACGAAGTGATGCGATGGACGGGCACTCTGCGGGCCCTAGTCCCGCTGCTTTCCCTTCATTTTGTCGACACCTGCATCCGGACAGTACCCTCAACCGGTAAATTCATCATGCAATGCCTGAAAACAGCATTTTCAAACCTGATCACATTATTCATTTTCAGTGCCGACCACGACAAGTAAGAAAAGTTTGCTCCGTCAATTTGTTGCCCTAAATCAGCACGTTTTTATTGACTTGCACACTATTTTAACGCTGCTTTAACGCATTTCGGTGTTCACGGATTTCCCCTAAAACTTTGTTTGCCGTTTGCGTATCTCATCGTTTAGCTAAACGGTTCTTTAGGATTCGCGGGGGAACCATTTTCTCTTAGCGTTTCGGGTTGGCCTAGTAATCAAATATAAAGTGTTTTAAATTGCCTTAGAAAGTTTTAACTATATTTAAAGTAGAAAAACTTTCAAAAAAGTTAGATACATGAAAAGGTCGAAAATTTGGTCATTTTGGGTCGAAAACAACCAATTTTTCTACTCTAAATGAATTTTTACTTAAAATTTGTATAGTTTTATGGTTAGGAATAGTTGCAAACAATTTAGAAACGCATGCCTTATTTATAAAAAATTTAGGTTAAAATATTAAGTTCCCCCCGCGAATCCTATAGAACCGTTTACGGATTTCCCCCTAAAACTTTGCTTGCCGTTTGGGTATCTTAACATTTTGCTAAAGTTATTTTTCGATAAAATCTCAATTTTCAGCGACCGTGGCGCCGACCACCACGACAACAGTGGCAACAGGCCAGTTTCGCTAGATTGACAAAAACTACGGCATCCCTAGAAAAAACGTCAATTTCACAAGACAGATAGCCGGGCAACCTCTAATAGAAACCTTTAGGTTGTGCCGGATGCTCGACGGACGACATTACCTTCACCCCAGCCCAGGGAAACCGAACCGGCTCTATCGATTCATCATTCAGGTTGGTTCATCATCATATATCATCAGCTCCTTCAGCGGTCCAACCACTAGCGCCGACGGTTGCATCCATCTAACAGCCATCTGCAATGGAGACGATGGATTCGTGTCTTTTATGCAGGTAGGGAAATACGGCCGCTAGGAGCATTTATAAAAAAATATAGTTCAACTACGAACAGGGCGGTCCCGTTGAGAATCAGCTAATGGAACAGGTCACCACCGCCCCACTCGATTGCCGCGATGGGGTTTGGTGAGCAATTGCAATTAAAGTGACAGATTACGGGTAGACTTTAGCTTATCCCCCCCAGCCATAAGTTCCCAAAAGGTTTTCCGCTATAACTTTTTATATTACTTTATTTTGGTCTGTATGTAAAATTTATATTTTTTGATGCTCTGTCTAATGGCGTGGTCAAAATCCCGCCAAAATAGCGAAATCCCGAAAATTTTGGCAACATTTCGCTGGGGGCGGGATAAAGTAAACTCTAGCCCAGGTTACAAAACCTAAACCTTAAAAAATCGTTCAAATTATTCCCTCAGGTACTATATGCAACGGGCTGTCTTCGAAGTTGACTGTCAGCAAGCTCAGGCCGGCTAGCAGTGTACGACGCCCTACGCATCCTCTTTACGCTCAAACCGTGGCGTGCGATTTTTGGTTAACAATGCGTGTGCAATAATCCCATGCGTCATCCGCTCAATTTGATTCGAGGCTTGAATAAATTGGTTCCCTTTATTCGACCGCGTGTACAAATACCGGCTTATGGGAGCGATGTCTATGCAAAGACATAGGCTTTTTAAAATGAGGCAACCGGTTATGCGGAGATCAGTGGATAAGGACGGAATCGCGTGCAGGCGCTGCTCAGCTAGATGTCGTTAAGTTCCGGGTGCCTCGCGATGATCAGCTCAGCCGTTCGCTCGACCTGGCGACAGAAGATTTCAATCTGGTCGTCCCATTCCTCGATCGGTGTCTTGCCTGAAATTTCAATATTGAATTATTTTTGGAAAATCTGAATGAATAATAAATGATCCGGAAATATTTGCTGATTTGCATGCCAACCCCACTAGAAAAGCCCCGGTCAACGCTAGGTACCCATTTCCGCAAAACCGTCCTCGCAAGATGGCCGCCGCGCTCAACATCGACGACATGATGAGCCGCCTGCTCAACGTGGGCATGGCTGGCGGTCGCCTGACGTCCTGCGTAAGTTTCCGCGGCCCACGCTCCATCTGGCCATTCTCAGGTCTCTGAAGACGAGCTCCGTTCCCTGTGTGGCATCGCCAAGAACGTGTTCATGAACCAGCCGTCGCTGATCGAGGTCGACCCGCCGATTCTCATCTGCGGTGACATCCATGGGCAGTATTCGGATCTCCTGCGTATCTTCGACAAGACCGGCTTCCCGCCCGAGACCAATTTCCTCTTCCTGGGCGACTATGTGGACCGTGGCCGGCAAAACATTGAGACGATCTGCCTCATGTTCTGCTACAAAATCAAGTGTGCTTTTGCTATCCTGCTTATCCCAAAAATAGGTACCCGGAGAGCTTCTTCATGCTGCGCGGCAACCACGAGTGCCCGGCCATCAACCGCGTGTACGGCTTCTACGAGGAGTGCAACCGCCGCTACCGCAGTCAGCGCCTGTGGCAGTGCTTCCAGGTAATTTTTCGCGACGTGATGAGGACGGTTGATGCAGGATACGTTCAACTGGATGCCGCTGTGCGGACTTGTCGGTGGCCGGATCCTGTGCATGCACGGCGGTCTGTCTCCGCAGATCCAGAACCTCGACCAGCTGAGGAACCTCAGCCGCCCGTCGGACCCCCCGAACCCCTCGCTCGGAATCGACCTACTGTGGGCCGACCCCGACAACTGGGTCAAGGTAGTGCATCTAGCAACACTCAAAAGAGCATCACATTCCAGGGCTGGCAAGCCAACACCCGCGGCGTGTCGTACGTGTTCGGACAGGATGTCGTCGTCGACTTCTGCGAGCGCATGAACCTCGACCTCGTCGCCCGTGCCCATCAAGTCGTCCAGGACGGCTACGAGTTCTTCGCCAACCGCAAGATGGTCACCATCTTCTCGGCCCCGCACTACTGCGGCCAATTCGACAACTCGGCCGCCACGATGCGGGTAGCGCTGCTTTCCCCCATCACTCATAGGCCCATACTTTAGATCACCGACGAGATGGTGTGCACCTTCGACGTGTTCCGCCCCACCGCCAAGGCTGTGCGCATGATGAACCAGGGATAAAAGAGCGGCCCCATATCGACAGCGAACCCACGGATTCCTATTTAACTGCTACTATTTTTCCTGTTCCCGTTGTGAAGAAGCAGCGCCTTCACGATTGACCAGCAAACAATAAAAGCTTCCTGACACACAATTCGATCCCCACATCCACTACCAAACACTGCAATTAAAAAAAATACCGTTGAAAACGACAATCTGGTCGATTTGATCGATCGTTCCGTTGAGTCGGTCAGAGGCAATCATACGAGCCGCCACTTTCTCAGCCTGAAAAAATGCTTAATTAGGGCGTTAAAAACGATCACCTCAAGCTCGTTGACACCAAGTAGTGAAGCCAAGGTCTTCAATGAAATGTTCGAATAGACTTGGCCGGCAGCTGTCATATTGTGTTCTACCATAACACCACGAATAATCGGGGCTCCCTTCTCGTCGTGTTGTTGCCATGGCGTCAGGGTTCGTTCGAATTCTGCTAGCTGGATACATCGTTAAAAACTGCTCAAGATATGATAAGATTACTTCATCGACTTTGATCAATCTTTCCAAGAAGAGCTTTTCCAACAGATTGTAGCACGGGATCAACCGGGCTCCCTCTTCCTTTCGCAGCGTCCCAAGTAAGCGGGTGCGGGAGTTTCCTAAAACGCTTAGATTCACAGAAATATTTCAACACCAGGAGGGGCCAAGATCGTACAAGTCATCGCGGCAGTGAGAGCATGTTTTTGATCACTAGGAGGCAGCACAGGGCATTGGTATAACTCGAAGTAGCTACAAAAAAATATGGATTCGATCAATAGTACCGTTGAGCAGCCTCGATAAAACGGCCGCGCCGATCATTCACACGTGCCATTAGCGCCTGAAGACGGGGATCGTGTTGCAGGAAAAAGTATACCTTGTGCTGCACATTCAATTTTTCATCTTTAGCCTCCGCTTGCAGCAGGCTAGCACGGTTCGCGGACGCTTCCGCATCATCCACAGCGTCACCCTCAAGATAAAGCCTGCCCATTCGTAGATACATTTCCATCTTGAACGAAGCAGGATGAACCCTGAAACCAACGGCATGTCCTCGAATAGAATTCCGAAGCGCTAGCAAGTTTCTAGAAAATACCAACCTCTGGCTGCTCTCCAAGTTGATCGCCAGCAGGGTGGCGGCAGCGTCTGTCCATTGCGACTCACGTTCGAAAGCCTGTGCAAGCTTCAGACGTAGACTGGTCACCTCGAAAGGAATAAAAAATGGCTTTGGTAAGACACCTGTTCTTCATAGGAAATCGCACGGCTTTGCGTAACGTTCAGCACGCCCTCCACGATTTCAATAAGCTTCTGAAAACAGTACATAGGTAGGCGCCCATGTTTCCACCTTTGCACTGGGCGGGCGTTCTTCCAAGGCTTGATCTATCAGTCCGAGGAACTGCCGCGATACGACCATGCTCCCGCTTTCCTTGCTGACTAGAACAGACCGGTGGCACCTTAGCTAACAAAAATATACCGGCTTCAACAAGGTTAAGGAGTTGCTCCACGTTAGTTGCATCTGGCGCGTCCCCGTTATATACGGTCTTTAGCACCGACGCCAATCTGAATACAATGAAAGAATGATTTTAATTCACTGTTCGAGCTGAGTTCGATGGTCACCACCGCTTGCATAAATCCCGGCAACAACATCGTTCATCCTGAAACACTACTATACACCAAACACGCAACTATGTATTGTGTGTGCTATTCACTGACTGTTTATTAGATAAGTGTTGCGGATTCTACGTTGTTCTCGGTACGACAATACGGGATGAAAAGTTTATTACTGGAAAAAAAACAAAGCGCAACAAAATCAACAAATTGAAAGAGTGGCACAAATCGCGGTGCAACAAGCGACAAAACCGAAATTCCAATCAGATCATCCGGTATGAGAACAGTGGCAAAGAAAGGATATTGTGAAAAGGCGCTCGGATATTAAAGCCGATGTATACTATTCCAGCTCAAAAATTGCTGCTTTAAGCCATGCCATCGCCATCTTCGTCATCTTGCGGCTTGGGAGCACGGGGCTTGACACCCCCAGTGGCCTGCTTCATCATGATGATCTGGTCGACTCTCAGGATCGTGGATGCAGCGTTTGCAGCCAACTTGATCGCGCTGCGCTTCCCTAAAAATCTGGCTACAAAGCAAAAATGATGAATACCAGCATAGAGGTCATAGATGTGCGCAGCCTTGGCATCCAAAAGAACATCCTTGTCCAGGATGTCGATTCCGGCATTCGGATTTCCAGTCTCGTGAGCAGCGTTCAGCTTGATCAATAGCTCATTCGCCTAAAGCAACCGATTATTAAGGCGCACAATTGACAAGGCTCACGTTGAATCCAGAATTCTCGGCCAAGCACTTCGGTAGCGTTTCCAACGCAGTGGAGAACTTGCGAACGGAATATTGCTCAAGTCCAGATAGTTTCTCGCCCCATTTGGCAATTCGGGTCGAGAGCTCAATTTCGACAGCGCCTGCACCAACGACCACCTGAAAAGGATGAAATAGCTTGACCCTTACAGCTATCGGAATGAAGAAGATGAATTTACTAATACCTTGCCATCTTTCGTCAGTGCCTTGTAAGTGTTGACCGCATCATCGATAGCCCGCTCGACATCGTCGATTCTCGATTGTGAAGATCCACGGATAATGATTGTGGCTACTTGGCCCTAAATTAATTGTCATTGCCGGGTTAGAATCACGGACCTTTTCACTCTTCTTGTCGAAAACGGTGACGTGCTCGTCTCCAATCTCCTTCACAAACACGTCATCGCACTGCCCGAGGAGATCCACAGCTGGTGTGCACTATTCAATTGAGGCAAGTATGCTTTCAAGAAACCCCTACGATAGCGGCCTGAGCCTGGGCGCCCAAAGTCTTGCTCAAGCGACGCAGGTCAAATTTAGATGTCAGACGAACGGCCATGATGTTGTACTTGTTTAGGAAATGCAGGTACAGATCTCCGAATTTCCCGCCGGCAACGACCACGTTTACGCCGGCATCAGCAAGAGACTATAAATTGGCAATGTCAAATTAAAGCATTAAAATTACCTTGATTTGGCTCTCGACCTCTTCTTCCTCGCCTTTCGAAAAACCCATCAATTCATCGGCATTCTCGATAAGAATGGTCCCCTAAAATTAATTAAAAAAGATAAGACATTAATCAACCTTGGTTTCAGTTTGTGTCAGGTCAAATGGGCAGGCAAAGACCGCCACGCGGCAGTTGGTCTGCTTCTTCACTTCGCCTTCCGAACCACGTTTGAAGATCATGCCATTCATCACCTATACAACAGCTATACGGACATCAAAAGGCACACCTGTGAAGCTGATACGCCCGAGCCGAGGATCTTGCAAATACGAATGTTATCAACGTTAAAGTTCTGGCTGTTCTTGGGGACCGTCAAAACTATAAAAAAAAACCATGAATATGAGACCATAAACAATACCGCAAGCTTTCGCAACCAAATCAGCAATTATATCTTCGCTATCATACTGCTTCGAGGTGATGGCAGACCGGATGTATTGCTTCACCTACAACGAACAAATTCCATGTATAACTAAATGACGACCTTATTGATATCGTGGAAATCGGTGGCGGTGTCGACAACCAACTCTTCGAGGATCTCCAGAGCCTTCTCCGTCGCCATCTCGTAGCCGGAGGCGATCTCTTGAGGTGCCAATCCCATGTGAATCAGCTCGTTTGCGTGCTCCAAGAGGGCAGTGGCGAAAATGACGACGGTGTTGGTGTTGTCACCGATTTGTTTTTCCTAAATCCACAATAGGTGCCGCCGAACCTTTGCTAACCTGCATTTGTGAGGCCATGATGATGATCTTGGCTGCAGGATGTTGCACTTCGAGTTCACTAAAACCCGATCAGTAAGGATAACAACAATTTACCGTAAAATCGTGGCCGCATCGTTGGTGACGAACAACTTTTCGATGTGATTGATCACCATCTTGTTCATACCTAAGGAACACGTTGTGAATCGAACAATTTCCCACCTGTTGGGCCATAAGCTGACTTCAACTGCGAAGCAAGCTCAACGCATGCATCGATGTTGCGCACGACGGCCTCATCGGTGCCTTTGAAATGCTAAAAAAAAGTGTGCAGAAACCAAGGCAAATAACACCTGCGCGCCTTCCTTCAAAAACCGGGCATAGCCAGACTTGGGCACCTTCTGGGCCATCTTTGTTGCCGCCGGGTTCTAAATATCAGATCATTACTCCAGTATTAGGGTCATAAAACGGCAAATCGAGCGATTAGTACAAAACGTTGTGGAATTAGAAGTAAACACGCGCTCTTTAAAAATGCATGCGCAGTCCAAATAGATACCATCATATTGAAGACGATTTAACACACGCCTAAAACCATTTTCAGCTTATGTAAGGCTATTTACACAAACTAAGGGGGTAAACCACCCAGTAAGAGCACAATTCAACGTTTCGCATGTTCTAGGCGCCATGGAAAGTCCGGGAAAATTACACACGAAAAGCCGGGGCCTTTGCAGCGAGGCCTTGAATGGCAGCTGGCCGACACGGGAGGTATTTCATTTGGTGAGAGCACAAGGCACAAACCTAAATCACGAAAACACTTGCTGACAACCAGAAATCAAAGAAAC